AGTGATCAACAGTTTCACAATAACCACAACAACCACCACAACATCATCATCAAGCAGCAGGCCGAGGAGACCAGGCTGCAGTGCCTCCACATCTCACAACAGCAGCAGCAGCAGGAGGAGGAGGAGGTGGAGGACATCCCCAGAGAGCAGCAGGGGCCAGGTGTGGGAGGTTTCGCTGCGGAAGAGCCGCTGAGCCGGGCAGTGGACAAACCGCAAGGGAGCTTCTCCCCGGCGGTGAGAGGGGGCACCCCGGGGAGCGAGGCGGGCGCAGATGACGGTTTGGCGACATACGGCGCCGTGAGGGCGGGATCGGCGACCGCCACCTTCCGGCCGAGCGGTGCCGGCGGCGAGAGGAGCAGAACCGCGAGGCCCAGAAAAGCGAGCGGCGCGGCGTCGGGTGATGGTGGCAGGCAGCGGGCGATGGACGAATACTTCCAGCAAGAGTTTGGCTGCGTGCCGTCCGTGTCGCCCGTCGACCTGGGCGCGGCGGCCGACTGCTGCTCGGCGTTCGCCGGCGACGACGGCGGCGCTGACGAGGAGGAGGAGGGGGAGGGCGCCGCCTCCGAGGACAAGCTGGGCTCCATCGAGCTGAGTGCAGACATCATCAACAATGGCTTCCACAGCAAGGCCTACGGAGCGGTGGCCTCCGAGTCGACGGACGACTGCAGCACGCTCGACCCGTCCGAGCTGCACCTGGACGAAGACATCGGCGAGATGGAGGAGTTCGCCAGCCACTTCCGGCCCACCGCCCGGCGGGAAGGCAACAACAACAACGACGACGAGGAGGAGGAGGAGGGGGAAGTGCTCGGGGGCTTTCTGGAGAACGACGAGGAGGAGTCGGGTTGCATTTCGGCCGACGTGGCCGCCCTGGGAGTCAGGGACAGCGTGGGGGACGTGGAGCTGGTGGAGCAGGGCGTCGTGTACGCTCCGGAGGATTTCTGCGTCTCCCCGTGTGCCTCCACGTTCTCGGGCTCCGTGTCAGTGGCGAGCCCGCTCTCCTCGCCGCTCTACCTGAGCCCTCGTGGCCCTGCCGGCTCGCTGGAGGACAACGCCTCGGTCGTGGACCACTCCGCGGATTCGTTTCTGTACGAGGACCAGCGCCCGGCGCGCGACTGCAGCTACAAGGAGTTCGAACGCAGCCTGGAGAACGTCCTGGAGGGCAAGCCGCTGGCGGGAGTCGGAGGGGACGTCGCTCCTCCACATCCCGAAGCGGAGATTCTCGCGTGCGGCCCGATGGCGATGGTGGAAGCTGTGGAGAACGCGACGGTGGTGTTGCCGTCAGAGACGAGTTGCCCGGAAGAAGGGGAGACTCCGGCCGAGTTGGCCCCTCAAAGCACGAGCCCCTTGCCTGCGCTCGTGGAGTCGACCTTTGACCCCGTGGGTGCGGAGTCTCCCGAGCCGGGAGACCCGCGTGTGGCGGCCAAGAAGAATAAGCAGCGGCAGCCGAGAGGCAAGAAAAGTAAGAAGCTCGCGGGCGCGAGCCGTCGCGTCTCGCCGTCTGCGGAAGCGGTCGAGTGCGAGGGAACCGGCTCGCCCGTCGCCATCGAAGCGAGGGGCTCGCCGAGAAGTTCACCGGCGGACGGAGTCCCTGCTGCCGTCGCCGCCACGCCGGACGCAGCGGAAAGCGACGACGAGGAGTCGGCGTCCGCCGTCGTTTCCAACGCCGCATCTCCGAGAGATGGCACGACGGAAGAGCCGCGACACACGTACGTCGCGAAGGAGGAGCGCTCGGTTTCCATTCCGCCCGTGTTGTCTGGCGGTCCCCAAAAGCCTGCGGACAAAATCAAGAAGAGCTCAAAATCCAGACTGAGGAGTCTCAATGAGCGCAGGATTAAGCTCGGCCGCTTGAACCGCGAAAGCAAAATGCTCCGCGTGGAAGCGATGAAGCAGCTACCGGTGGAGAATGCTCCGCCCGGGGCGAAGGATGGAGACGAAGAGTCACGCGGCTCCCCTCCTCGCCAGCCCAGTGTGCTGTATTCCCCGCTCTACACAAACGTGTCCAGTTTGACCGTGCAGGTGCCCGAGAAGAAGAGACGGGGGCGACCCAGGAAGGAGCTCGCATTCAGCGGCGGCGGTGGTGGCGCGTCGAAGTGTCACGCTCGCGCCGAAGGTGACGATGCCTTCGGCCGCACGGATGGGTTCGGCCGCGATTGCGTTCGTATTTTCTCTGCGGCAGAAATCGCAATGGAGGGCGACGAACTCCTCCCGACCAACAGGACTTGGGGGCCCAGCGCCGTCCCCGGCGATGAGCCCCGGCCGAGCGCGAAGAGGCTGACCGATCGTAAGTTCCTCAAGAAGATCAACAAAATGAAAGGGCTCAAGAGGGAGAGGATTCTCAGCCAGATTTTATCCGGCTCGAAGGGCGGCCCGCACGGCGCTACCGACGTCAGCCGCGAGGCCGACCAACCGACGATCGTCGCCACTGCCGCCCCCCCTAAGGTCAAGAAGAGGCAGCAGATCCACGTGAGCAAGAAGGGCACCATTTATGTCGGCAAGAAGAGGGGCAGGAAACCGAAGGCCCCGTCGGAGGCCCCGGGCACGGCCGCCGTCGCGGCGCAACCCAGGCCGCCGCTGCCACCACCGCCACCTCCGCCGCCGCAGTCGTCATCCTCGTCGCATCCTCAGTCGTCGCCGTCGAGTTTCCACGCGTCGGCGTCGCCGTTTTCGCTTCCGTCACCCGCGACGACGCAAGCGCCGGGCTTCAGCAGCGGCCTGGAGAGCCCGGCGAGCGACGTGGGGGGCTACCCGGCCGTGTCGCTCCTGCCTGGGCCCCGTCCGAGCCGCATCCTGCCGACCAAGGCCATGCTCAAGTTCTCCGGCGAGAGGCCAAATTTCTCGCCGCCGCTCCCCACATCTCCGTCGCACTGCTCCGAGATCTCCCTGCTCAAGGTAGCGCTCGCCATCGCCGGTAAACGGAACCCTCGGGGTTATGCGCAGGCCCTGCCGGGTGTTAAGATGGAACCGGGCCGTTGTTATTTGACTTTACGTAGGTTGTCGATAGATAATGTGTACTGCGACAAATTGGCCAGAGCCATTTTCTCTCCATCACTTTGTAAGCACATTACGTGAAACCAATGTAGTGGGATCAGCTTTCAGGGTGCGTAATTGCATACGGAATCGGTGGTGGTGTTTTCTTGTTCTCGCGATCCCACTGTGGACGATGACCTTTCCCCATTTGGAGTCACACTTCGCTTAGTTTTGCACGAATCGATGACGCTCTTGACCCGACCAGGTGCGAGGAGCGCTGCAAGGCGGCGTGTTATTCCGGCGTCGACCGCCCCGGCGCAGTCCCCCACCGACCGCCTGTTGCTGCCGCCCCCCTCCCCCCCACCACACCAGGAGGCGACGCCGTCTCCCATCAGCGAGTCGCACAGCGAGGAAACCATCCCCAGCGACAGCGGCATCGGCACGGACAACAACAGCGTGTCGGGGCGCGCCGACAAGCGGGATGGCCTCCGCACGGCGTCAGCCGCTGTCGTCGCGGCCGCCGTGGCCGCCGCGGTTACTGCGGCCGCATGCGGCGACGCTCGACGGCCGGGCTCCTTCGTTTCTTCCGCGTCGCCCTCGGACGCCGTCGCCGGCCCGGCCCGTCCATCGCCGCCGCCGCCGCCGCCGCCGCTCGGGGAGAGTCTGCGGCGCCGGCACAGGAGCGGCGCTTTCCGGCAGGACAAGCTGAAGAGGCCGAGGCAGCACAAGCGGCGCAAGAAAGGGCAGGACCCCGGCTTCCTGGCCGAGCTGGAGGAGCTGACGCGGCTGCTGGCGCGGTGCCGCGTCGGCGGGGGGCGCTCGCGCCGCCGCGACGCCGAGCCGCGCCACCGCCGCCTGCCCAGCATCTTCTGCGTGAACTTCCCGACGCCGCGAGCGCCGCCGCCGCCGCCGCCGCCGCCGTCCCTGTGCTACTACGGCTCCGCGCAGGCGTTCCGCGTGGACGACGAGGCGAGGTCCAGGAAGCGGCGGCGCGGGAGGCCTCCCAAGGCGCCCGGCTCGCTCGCCGACGCGGCGCCCGACGACGTCCCCGTGACGACGCACGGCGCCGGGGGCTACGGTTCCGTGCCCGGCGGCGTTTGCTACGGCCCCTACGGCCTACCGTACAGCTCCCTGGCCGTTCCGGCGGCAGCGGCCGGCGGGGTGAACCTGAGCTGCTGCTACGGTTCGTTCGGAACATCGGCGTACCCCGCGGCTCGGCCCCGCGGCGCTGGCCGGGCGGCGCCGGCGCTGCCGTCGCTGCCGTCGCTGCCGCCGCTCCTGCCGGCCACGCGCGACTCCGGGACCTCCCCCTTGCCGTCCAGAGCGGAGAAGCATCGGTGCCGCAAGTGGAAGCAGCACCAGCAGCAGCAGCAGCACAGGGCGGGGCACGCGTTCGCGCCCGACGGACGGCGCGCGCCGTTCCACCCGGCGGGGAGAACTCGCGCGATTCACCGTCGGGGCGACGACGTCGACGCGAAGCTCAAGTGCAAGTGCGGCCGAAAGCATCGCGAGCGCGGGAAGGCCAAGCGGCGGCAGCGGCGGCAGCAGCGGCAACACGCGCTCGGCGCCCACGCGCCGTCGGCCGAGCTGACGCTCCCGGGCAGGAGCTCGGCGCCCGCGGGGGGCGAGCGCGAGCCCAGGCCGGCGATCGCGGGCGGCGGGTGGGAACGGAGCGAGAAGCATCCGCCGTGGAGCCGCGCGGACGCTGGGGCGTGCCGATCGGCGAGCGTGTCGGCATGGGTGAACCGGGCGGCCTCTTGCGACGGGGCCGGCGACGCCTCCGACCCGCGGCGCCGTTCGGAGAAGAGGAGGAAGTCCTCCGCCTCGTCCTCCTCCGCCTCGTCCTCCTCCCGCTCCTCGTCGTTGCGGGAGCGGACCTTCGCGCCGCCGGAAAGGACGGCGGCCGCGGCGGCGGCGGCGGCCGGGCTCCTGGGGGACGCCAGGAGAGACCGGCCGCTCGCCGCCGCGGTCGCGTTCCGGCAGGGAGAACGGCCGAGGACGGCGGACGCGTCGCCCCGCGCAGGTCGGTGCGGGGCCCGGCGACGAGCCGGCCGGCCGGACGGCGTAGCGGCTTAGATCCTGGCTTGGGTGGGGGGGGGGGGGCGGTTGACTTTGCCCTTCATCTCCCCCCGGGTCGATAAAAGGAAGTCGACGGCAGGCGCCCCATGGTTAGATTCCGCCTCGCTACCCCCCTTTGCCATAGGTAATGTGGAATTTCCGCCACTCGCCTCGGGGCTGTAAAGTGCTAGATAAGCACCGATACCCTCAATGCTCATTTGCGGAGGAAATCACCTCGATTCTCTAAATTGACTCGGCGAAGGCACTCAGATATGCCTCATGTTCCCCTTTTACAGTGGTTTTCCCTGCTGGATTCTTCTGTCATTTTTCTCCATCGAATGCTGGTTGGATGTCATTCCTTCTACCCTGATTTGAGAGGTGATTGCGTTCCACATATTATTCTCTGAAGTTCTATGTATGTATGTCGAACTTCTTTCGCATCATATGTCGACAAACGTGCTAATTGTAGGTGCGGATGCAATGTGCATGAAGGAGATCTCCTCTTACTCACGCCCCTATTGTCCATGAAGGTTATAATCCACAGGAGCTGCTATTATTCATGGTATTATTCTGCCTATTTGCAATTATTCTCCAAATTTTCTCACGCATACGTTTAGTTAAGTCGAGGATAACCCCAAGTTTAAAAATAAGATCTGCAATGTCTGGCCCGGTGGAAGTGCGTTTGCCGATTGTCTCGGAGGTTCGCGGTTCAAATCCGGCGGGCCGTCCCGGTTTGGGTGCACCGACCGGTAAAACACCGTGCGCTCGCCTGCTCACGATCCCGTGGCGCCATTCGCCACGGTAGGGCCCATCGCGCTGTTCAAGAGTGACTCCGGCAAGTTAGCTCATTGGGGATTGCACATACGCAGCAAGATTGCCCACTGTGATAGCACCGCGCTATAAGACTGGCACGGGATACCAACCATACTCGCTTACTGTTGTTGTTATTTGTGGGAAGCAGTGGCGCAGCGATTAGCACGCCGTGTGGTCAAGACGTTTCTAGGAACTCGCGTAGAGAATGTGCGGGAGACTTTTCTGCGCACGCGACCTCCTTGCATTTTTTGCGACTTTAGCAAGGGTTCTCTCTCCGGTTCCCCTCCTCATTTTGAGGCTGAAGCCCCAGTGAGGCTTCCCCGGGTACAGAAACAGAAAGAATGTTTTTATTTTTTGTACGGGAGTGATGGCGCCGTGGTTAGCGCGCGACGCACTGGACCCCAACCCCCCCCCCCACCCCCCCGGTCAGCTCGAGGTAAATTCCTGGTTAGAGATAATAAACATCGCTGGCGAGTGTTCATCTCCCGTCTGAACTGGCCATGTCACTTCAACGACCCGCACTGACCAGCATGGTGAAGTATAGCCAGCCAGTAACCGGCAGGGCGTGTGGCGGTCTTCGTCTCGCAGAGAATTGGCAAAAAGGATCCGTAAATGATTATTATCATCACCGCTACTACACAGATGAATTAATTTGTATGTAAACCACCACCTCTTAACTTTCATCATCGACCATTGCCCCCCCCGCCCCCCATTATCACCAAACAACCGACACGACACACACACAAAGTTACTCGGCAGTGTGGGGTGCATTTGGAGAGAGAGGCTCAATTTGATGATGAGAAACAGAATACCCATCGGGACTGATGGGAGATGTGTGCATAGCTGCCAACTGTGACACACGTACGGATCAGAGGCGCGGGGGCAGGGGCACTGGCAAAGGAAACAAAATCTGAAGAGTGCACAAAGAAGCGTGGAGAGAATTGAACGCTTGGGGAGAAAAGCACGCGGATCGGAGGCCAAACACAAATCAGAGGCATCGCGGTGACCGGCGGTAGCGAGTAAAGCCCGGGCACAGACCGGCGGCGGAAGGGCACGTATGTATTTTACGTGTATGTTGAACTTCTGTCGCACCCTACGGAGTCAAACCGCGCTAATCGTAGGTGCGGGGAAACGGCAGCCAAAGGAGAAAGCGCGTCCGAGAGGGTGGCCACCGCGGAGATGGAGCGGTGAAACAGATTATTGTACAGGAGTGAGACGGATCGTGCATAGCAGGAACTCTATAGGGGAGTTGGTGACAGCGTTGGGAGTTCTTCATCAGCGCGGCGTCGACTGCTACGCTCGCAAGATACCAGTCGATGTTTTCCGATGCGCGTACATCACACGTGACGGTGTTGCCACTAGAGGCTGCGACATTCACGACAGGGGGGGGAAATAATACGGCTGGCTAATACGGTAATCATTGAATCCTGAATCGAATCGCCACCGCTGGGCCTCCCCATCTCCCAGTGTACGCCGATCATCAGACCTCAGAAGCTAAGCAGAGTTGAGCCCAGAGAGTGCTTGGATGGGTGACCGGCAGTGGTTCTGTTTACACGGTGGTCAGCAGAGGGCAGCGAGTCAAACCCCCCAATTGTTGCACCTTACTTCTACGCTCTCACCCACGGCCAGGTAGGGTCAGACGACCCCCTCCCCACGACTCGCCCGGCCCTCATCCAGCAGTGGATCGAGCATATGCACGTACCGCTCTCCCCTGTTCCCCACCCTACCTCTCAATTCCTCCCCCCCCCCCATTGTCCCCCCCCCCCCACTCTCACCCATGACCCTGGGGCTATACCACAAAGCGTACGTCATGCGCCCCGTGTCACGCATGATGGATTGGCCCGCCGAGTTATGGGCAGGTAATACGGGGTTTAATGTTTAACAGAGCCCGTGCCGGGGCGATTGATGAATGCTTTAACCGCGCTGCCCGGCGGAATCCGGGCTCGCGGCGTCCGGCCGAGTGGGGGTGCCCGGCAGCCCCCCACCCCCCTTCCTCTGATGGCCGTGATACGAGCGCTGGGAAAGAGCCGCGTGCGTCATGACGCGGCCAACGTCTCGAGCGTGCGCGGAGTTGTCGGTGGTGGCCGCGGTGGCTCCCCACCACCGACACCGATCGTCGGCGGCGGCATCGGCACGCGTCGCGAGCGGCTCGCGTTGCCGCATTGCCGAGCGCCGGGGAAAGTGCGGAGTGTGTGCGGTCTGTGCGCAGGAGGCCAAGAGACAAAAACACGGTGCACTGCACAGCCCATTTAAGGAAAACACACTTGCAGCTCAGACATACAAACATTCCTGCCCACCCCCCCCCCCCGTAGCCTTAACAGACTGTTGGGGCAAATGTAGTTAGCGAGCAGCACCTGTGAAGGCCGGGAACGGCACACGGGGGGTGAGTGGCCAGCACCATGTTCCGCCGTCTTTGTGTCCCCATTAGAGATGTTTACACATCGCACCAGGTAGACATCTGAGGCTGAGCCGACCAGTTCAGATAATCTTTGCTGGTGAACTGGGGTCGCCGGGTTTGTAGCGCAGCGCGCTAATCACTACACTACCGCTCTGCGCACACACACACGTAGACGCACGCAGACGCACGCACACACACACACACGCAGATGCACGCACACACACGCAGACGCACGCACACACACACACGCAGACGCACGCACACACACGCAGACGCACGCACACACACACACGCAGACGCACGCACACACATGCACGCACACACACACACGCAGACGCACGCACACACATACGCACGCAGACGCACCCACACACATTGAGACCTCCTATTTGATGCGGCCCCCATGTTTATCATGTATTTATTTTCGCTCAGCCACACCTTACCCTAGGTACCCCGAGATACGAGCATCCTCCTCCCTGCACACCTCACGACAGATGTATGCCTGTTCATTGGAAGAAGTAAATAAATACATCTGAAGCTCGGAGGTTTTGCCTGTGCAGAGCCTCCCCGTTGTATTATAAATATTAAGCGTTTCCACTCCTGAGGTTATTAGACTCCCACCCACGTGGCTTTCAACATCACTGAGGCAGGACGTGGCGGTCTCAGAAGCCCCCCCCCCCCCCCACCCTGTGTCTATATTAAGCTCGGTAAGCTCGTGATTCCAAAGGTATTCCTCTGATCTACTTCGAGCTACCGCGTTCACTTGCACTCCGGACACTCTCCGGGCGAGATTCCAACCGTAGAAGGGGGACAAGGGATTGACAGTATCACGATGGGGCCCCAAAGCACCGTATTAAACTCTAAACTATGACCGACCTCGCCTGTTGTGTACAGGAGGTCGTGGGGTTGATCCCAACCTTGACGCCTGCTGCAGTATATTTGGAGTGTACATGTTCTCTCCGTGGTCGCGTGGATTTTTCTCCGGGTCCTCTGGTTTTTCCCTCCACGTTTAGAATCAACGTCACGCGTTTGGAGAGTATTTGGCTGCTATAAGTTTCCACGTGATGTTGATCCACTTCGTTGAGCTATCATTTGTGGCCATGTCGCTTCGGAAAAAGAGCTGCATAGCTAAGTGGGCCTTACCTGGTCAAATAAAAATAGTAAAATAAACAAGAGTGCCACCCCCCACACAATGCCATTCGCCAGGGAGTCTGACCCAATGATGGTGAAGCGACGATAAAATGTCCCAAGTTGTGGACTCGGCGTGACTCGGAGTGGAACCAGGAGGTGGTGGCTCTCCTCCACCACCACCACCACCTCTGCTGGCAGCTGCTGCTGCTCCTGTTGTCAGCGGTGGAGGTCACAGGTCGGGGAGGTGCGATATCTCAATGGGTCCCCTCCACTGCATGAACCTGCCATGACCGGCGTGGTGGAGGTCATGGAACCCCCTCCCACCACTGACAAAGCTCGGCAAGGAGGGGGGAGAGCGGCTTTGATTCGTCAGCGGGGTGACAACGGCCGTGCACAATTATTAACGTGAATATAAATCATTAAATACCGTCACGGCGACGGCACAGCGCGGGGGACGGCCGCCGTCGCTTCGATCCGCGCCCGGGCCGCCCCGTGACCATCGGCCACGTCGCTGGCAGCGCCGATCGTCTGCAGCTGTCGGCCATGGGCGGGGGAGGGGGGCGGAGGGGATAGAGTCGTCGTCGTCATCGCACGCGGCCGGCAATGATGGGAAGCGAGGGTGATGGCTGCGCGGCGCCGTCAAGCAAATTGGTTGAATGAGCGGGGAGTGTAGGTCGCGGAGCGGGAGGGGTTGGTCGCTAAGCAAAGGCAAAGATGCCCCGTGTAGCCTTAACAGGCAGTTGGCGCAAGCGCTGTCAGCGAGAGGCACCTACGCAGGCCGGCACGGCACACGAGGAGGGGGGCGATGTTTACACACCGGGTACTCATTTGGGAGGGTGGGGTAGCGTTTGGGGCAAGCGTCCCCCTGTTGTAATTGTAGGGCCCTTTTAAAAAGCATTATATTTCGAGACTGAAAATGTCTGGATCTGCCTCTGACAGCACACACGGCTACTCTCCGTCAATGCAGAATCACAATATTCATTCATCCTGGAGAAATCCCATACGCTCAGCGCAGGTCTTGGAGGCCACGTTTGCACGCTGCCCAGTGGGAGGTGTGCTCGCCGCTCGTTTCAGACGTTCACGGTTCGAATCCAGCGGCCGCCCTGGTTATTGCTGCGGGTGTAGTAACAACGGTAAAACCCCTGGACATCTGCCAATAAGAGCTTCATAGTTCATCGTATTCTTCCAGTGTGAATAAAGATTCTGATTCTGATTGAGACGACACACCCTCTGCTCCACACAGCGGCCGTCGGCGTCAAGATCCATATTACCACGTAAATTACTCCATTGGGATTATCTCATGGTAATCATCGCCACCTACTGGCAGACTAATGCCCCAGATCACCTTTGCGAAAGACACGGCATCCTGTTCTCACCCGATTCAATAAAATCAACTGGAAACCGCTCTATGTGGAAGATGGTAGAAAGCGTTGTTGTGGCTGTAGCATCGGCGGCTTTTTCCACAATGCCGCCTTGACTCTGACCGCCGACATCGACTGCTGTGTCAAGCGATGTTAGCGAGCGCCTAGTAAGGCGGGCACGGCACCCGAGGGCTGAGTTCACCGACAGCACCGCGTCCCCGCCCACCTTTGCCACGGCAGTGCTGATGGTTCCAAGCCTCACGATCAATTTATATTCGCGGAGTCGAACCGCTGGTCTATCCGTGTTTGATGAAGGCATGGAGTGTTCAAGTACAGTACAACGTAGGATGTCCCTGCGCTGTCCTCCGCGCGGCTCTGCAGAAAGCCTATAACGCCTGTTATGCAGGACGGTCGCGAATCCAAAGCGACGTTTCCAGGCTCAGCCCTGCTTGGCTTCCGAGCTCTGACGAGACCGGCCATTCTGCATAAAGTTTAAGGTTCTTTGAATACAGTGCATTAAAAAATACTTCTCCATTTGGTCGTGAAGCGATGATTAAAGGGCTTCCTGAATTGGGCCCTGTTTTGCGATGCAATATCTCTTGCGGGAGGGGAGTTTTGGGAAACGCGATAAGAAAGTGCCGGTTGTGACGGAAAGCGGAGGAACTCAAAGCGTGGTCTTTTGCTCCCGAGGCTCCCGTTACACGGAGAGGGCCGCGATTTTTTTATTTTCAATCGCACATCCGCAAATATTTATTTTCATGAATAAATCGCTAACGAAGAAGATCGCTCGCATGCTTGAGCTAACGACAATAATACAATGAAACCAAACGGCTCGAGCTTGCTTTTCTGAAGCCGCAGCGAACCTTTCCGAGATTACTTCTTAATCCTTTGCGGGCACCCGCTTAGCAGCCGAAAGCAAGTGTATTGCCTCACTTCGCACACACTCGCCTCCTTTCGCCACACAGTTGCACAAACTGTGGCAAGTTGCCTGCTTTTACCGACCTGCCTCCGCCCGTTATAGACTTTGGCTGTAACGTGACCTCAGGAAAAAGTGGCACCTGAGCCCAAGGATTATCTTGCGTCAAGCCTCGATTCCACGCTGCTTCTTTAAAGGGCACGTGCTTTTAAGCGGGTTCAAGTCCAGTTTAAGGTCCAGCTCAGCGGCAGGGCTCCAAGTCAAAGGATTTTGAGTTTGGAACCGCCCCTCTCCAGCCAAGGTCATTGTGGCAAATTATTTTTCTGAGGAGGTTTTTTGTGCTTGTATCTGCTGTGCAGCTCTCTACCGATGGGCTTTTTTTCCGGTTGTGTTGCTAGGAATGGTGTCCCGACTTTTCCCTCCACGTGCTGCAAGCTTCTTTGGGAAATTAACTGAATTTTCCAACCCTGAAACGCACCGGCGATTTCATTTTGAAGTTGATCGAATTAGTACCTCTTTGCAAAAAGCCACGATAACCTGACCGTCTCCTGACATAGGAATGTGGATTTTTGTTTTCTTTTTTTTACAACTGGTTCAGGACCACTGACAGAGATAGTTGCTGCACCCACGCTTTGCTAGAGCAGAGAAATACCCTGAGTGTTTGAATAGTTGAATACAAGCTAGTATCGGCCCATCCTGTGAATATGTTTCAAAGTTATGAATTTACCAAAACTGTCCTTGCATGAGTGACCTGAAGCCTCGTCAAGGCTTTGCCTTCCACCACCAATTTTGCTCACGGTTTTTTTTTATTTACGTGGGTCAAAGGTCGTATGTCATACATCTACAAATACAACCGTTTTGTCAACCCACTGCAAAATTATAGCCTCCCCATGCTGTGTGGGTCGTCAGAATTAGGGTTATTTAACCACACTTCAGCAACGTCGTCCGTGCTGGTTGCTAGAAGAGGAGCATAGATGTACAGTACAACAATATATTTTTCTGCACCGCCCTCTGCTGCCCGCAGCCTGCCTATGACAAGCTGGCGTGCATGATGGCCACTCATCCGTGCATTTTGCAGGCTCAATCCGTCTTATCTTATCAGATCTGATGGGATTGGGTGCATTCTGGGTGACTTGCTCACAGGCGAAGTTTCTCAACGTCGATGATTTTGCACGCCCCGGGAGGGTGAGTCTGCTGCAAGTGCCGCGTCGCTCAGTGCCATCGCGTTCTCCCCTCTCCCTCTGCGCCGGCAGACGACCGCGCGAGACCGGAGGTGGTGCACCGGGCAAAGTGGAGCGGCGACGCGAGCGGCCAAACCTGGCGACCGGGCAAATTCGACCGCCCGGCCCTAACTCTGACCCGACCGCACGGCCTCGGTCACGTCGGCCAGACCCAGCTCCCGATCCACGGGACGCACCGGAGAGGCCACAGGGGCCGCGGGCGGCCGCCCAAGGCCCACGAAGACGTCTCCCCGGTGGCCACGGCGGCCACGGCGGCCACGGCGGTGGCAGCGCCCAGGGATGAAGATCCGATGTCCGTCGTCTCCGCCTCGAGGGGACGTCTCCCCCCTGCGGGGGACGCCGACGACTCTGAAGGCACGAGCGGCATTTCGGACTCGATCGAGCGCGTGGTGCGGAGGGCGGTGCTGCAGTGCCGCTCCCTGCCGCCCCACCGAGGGGAACCTGCGCCCGATAACGAGCGGGCCGGGAGGAAGCGAAAAGTCGCGGCCGCGGTCCACAGCCACCAAGGTGGGTGGCGCCGATACAGCTCCGCAATTCTGCAGACTCATGAAGATGTTGGCTGGTGTTAAAGTGCATTGAGTCATTCCCTAGGAATAAAAAAACAAATATTATTCAGCAATGCAGATTTGTTTTAATTAGGGCAGTTTAAATATTGCGCAGTAGGGAAACACTTTTACAGTGTGTGTATTTTTTTCCTTTGAGAGGAAGCTATGATTTTGATTAATGTACGTTTTATGATAAGGATGTTCTCCCAATTTCCAAATGGATTCTGGAAAAAAAATCTGAAAATCAGGCCCAGATTATGAAATGTTTTTTTGTTGTTCAGTGTCTTCTTAATTCTTATCCCCGGATCTGCCCATCGACATTTATCTGCGCAATGCGGAGTGAGCGGCCTATTGTGGCCATCGTTTGGGCCCTGCGCAGGGGGGCCGTTTGTGCCGTCGTCGCCTCCCCACTGCTTTTGTGAGCGCAAGTTCGATGACGGGATCTCGGCCGCCGAGGTCACGGCGTTGGTTGCGCTTGTGCTCGTGACGGAAGGCCGCGTGAGACGTCGTCGTCGTCATGGCAATGTCAGATTGGCACGGTTGCATGCGTATATGTTATAATCGGAGGTGCGGGGGAAGGACAACAACCTAAACACAAAAAGCAGTTCTAAAGAAATTAGTTTTAAATCTAGATTTAAAAGTGCATAGCTCCAGTAGCTTCGTAATATCGGAAGGAAGAGCGTTCCAGACGGCCACAAAAGTACATCTGAAAGTGCACGATGCAGTGACCGTCTTTGTTTGATGGCTACATGCAGTACGAAAGAAGTTCAATACTTTCTCGAAGTCTCTTTAGCACTTCCTGCCAAAAGTGTAAAACGACCTGACATTAAATTGATTCTCTTACATGTGGAACTCCACGTTTATAATTGCTAAAATTATGAAATATAGTGCATAAACAATGAAAGTTTTTGAAATATAATACATATTGAAATACGAAATAATATCCAATATTGGTCATAAATATCTGAAAATCCAATGAAGGATTTCCCTCGCTTGAGGAGGTAGATGCATTCCAAAAAAGGGTGCACGAAGTGAAACTCCACGAGAGAGCTAACTGCCGAGTAGCGTATACAGCACACACACAATGTTGTCCCGCGTCCGACCACATAGCCGCATATGAGTGAATTCATACCGCATAAAGTTAATTTTGGGTATTAATAGGTTAGCCACGTCCACGTAAAATCGCACAAACCTACCTCCATAGAGCGAAGGAAACCTGTATCTGGAAAAATGTTAATCAAAACTATTTTTGTGTATGAGGAGCGGTGGTGAGCACACTTTTCTCTGAACCCAAGCCAGGGCCAACATCAGTGGCGATTGATATGTGAACTGGTCATGGGCCAAGTCCGTCTTCACCAGCCTGCACTGGTTAAGTATGGTCCTAGATTAGCACGGCTGGCTACGTACCTATTGTGCGAAAACGTTCAACATACATAAATACAAATATCCCCCATGGCCAAAGGGTGTTGTAAGGGGTGGGGGGGGCGCCTTCCTGATAAACATGGGCAAACGTTGGTTCAACCGTTCCAACCCCATGCTAACCGATGGCCGAACGTTGCTTGTTTATTGGATTCATCCAGCCGTGGGAGGACAAAGGGCTATACATATGTGGCGCGTGTTTTTGTGTTTTTTTCCATTTCAGGAAGGACTGTGATTCTGCAATCTCATCCGTGTGAGAGAACGGACCCAAAGTCGCACTTACCGTTCAAACGGAGGGAGGACAAAATGAAAATGGTCATACAGGAACACTGACTGGGATGGTTTGGAGGCCTGCTTGCCTTGCGCGGTGGATTTTGTGAGAAGTGAAACGGAAACGAGCACTTGTTGATGTGGGATCGACTCCTGCCCGGGATTTGCGCCGATCCCATTTCCCGTTGTACTCGGGCGCGTCGCGACCGTCCCTGCGGAACTACAAATGCAGCGACTTGCATTGTGGCGCTTTGTTTGGCCTGTGGAGATGGTCAAGGGTGCGGGGTCACGACCACGCAAACAGAAACCACGACGACCACAGCATCGGCACTGTGGGTGTCGGTGTCACTCGCTCACCGTCGTTTGCTGATCAATGCACTTGGAGGATTTACGAAGAGCAGCAGAGCACGGGGGGAGTTTCAAACGTGTGAAGAAAGCCGCAGAGCGAGCGACAGCTCCCAGCTGTTGGACTGGAAAACACACGCTGATAGCCACGTTACGGCACCATTACAAAGGCAGCATCATCATCATCATCATCAATCGCCATCAGTGCCAGCAAGACCCTCATATAAGTGTTTTGCACCAGTACCCTGTGGAAGTAGCGATGTGAAGACGGACCGAGCGACGGATCGCGACGGATCGCGAGCGGACATTGGCGTGTTCCGCCCTCCGCTCGCGATGGAGGTTTGTCTGAGGATGGGGGCATAAAAGGTCCTGTCTTGCCTTAGTGAAGCGTATTTTATAATTGTTCATAATTGCTCAATTGTTTATAATTGTTTAACGCTGTCCACACAGATCTTGGTGGAGAGAGCGAACGTCAACGGACGCGACGCGAGATTTAAAACGGCAGCGGGTTTTTTTTTTAACGAACGTTGGCAGCTTTTTACGTATTACATAAAAATAAAGAATATATTTTGAATCTGATTTTAGCGAATTGCGTGGAAACCATGGACAAGTGAGTAACTTATACTGTGGTCGTGCATCTGCAGCATTTGTAACGAGTAAGGTCGTGAGTTCCGTGTAGGTGCGCGAGGTTTTTTTGTTCGATACATTTTCGTAAGCGGCATTTTTCGCCTGCCAAGAAAAATCGAGCAGTTCCCAACTCGGCTGATTGTCGCTCTACTTGCACTGAATTTAGTTCACTCTGTTTTTTTTTATTTTGCGTTAATAAAATGTTGACCTTTTTAAACTCGCCAAATATATTTCTAATTTGCCGAGTTTAAGCCGAACCCAAAAACAAGCCAATCGCCGCATCTGTGGCTTCATATCGGAGTGCAGGGCGTTATGATTCATTGCTAACTACCGTGGTAGAAAATGTAGCAAAGTCATCTTTTCTACTCCCTCTTGTTTGTCAATCTGTGACGAGCAGTAAGTAAGCCATTGGTTTTCATCATTAAAGTTTGTGATCTCTTCTCGAGATTCTATAAGAAGCTGTTTGAATCACAGTATTATCCTGGACACGAGATGTTCCATCTCAGCGCATTTTTCTGGTGAAATAGTTGGATAAATCGAATAACTTGCCGGTACTTTAAGATATGTACAAGCAAGTAAACAGTGGTTGCTCTGTGGGAAGACTCAAGCCACCCATAGGAATGTGGAATTTCCAGCACTGGCTTGGGGGCTGTCAACAGGAGATGAGCACAAATGCCTCGATTCTGATTTCAGCAGGAAAATGGAAAGTGGTTTTGAGAAGAGAGCCATCAATCAAGTCGGGTTTGGGATGCATACAAAATGAATAAAATCAGTTTTTAATAATTTAAATGTCAAATAATGAAACGTGTAATGCCACTAAGAAGCAATGTGACAAACGGCATTTAAGCATTTTCAAGCATTAAGAATGTTTGTGTAAATCAAACTACTTGGATTCACTCAGTTATGTTGCCGCGATGGCATTCACGGGGAGCACGAACACGACAGACTGGCAAGGTATCGCGCACGACGCATTGCGTCGCTTCATTGTGCCACTGCGGTTGCCACCTCTACGGTACAAAAGCCGGGACCGTGTCGTGGGAAGAGGGGACACTGCCTGCTTGTCAATGGTTCCGTCTAGAGTGGCGTGGTAGCGTCATCGTTATTACTCTTGCTCAATTGACAAAAACCACGGTTTACATTTTTGGCCCTCGGAAGGACTCGCAGATTTCCCAGGACAGCCGCTACCTCCGCAAAAAGTGGGATGTCCCGGGAAAACCAAGGACGATGTGAAAACGCGCAATGTAAGAGCTCAGAGCTGCGTCAGTTAACCCGGAAAAGCACCGAGCGATTGGGATCCCGGCCACTCGATGAACGTTCGACAATCGCGCTCGCAGACCACCGTGATGGCACGAAGTGGAACGTTGAACCGATTGCGGGGTCGATCGCGAGGCTCCGTGCGGTCACCATCGGCGGCACGAGACTCGCCGCGCTCCGTTGCCGGGCCTCGCGCCTCGCTCTGTCTCTCCTTGCCGCTCTCAGCTGTTCGCCCTTGTTGAGGCCCTTTCCAATCCGCTGATGTGCAAGTCTGTGCCAAGACAGATATGTTTTCATTCGAATAGTCTCAGGACCCGTGAGTAATGTTTTGAGCACCGCTAAGGCACCTGCGATTAGCACGGTTGGCTACGTTCGCTGAAAAAGAAGTTCAACATCCAAGCTGCCATTCTGGGAAGCGATGTACCTGCTCTAAGTGCCACTGTACAATAAACGTATTTAAAGAAATAAAAATACTCAAGTGGGATGACCGGATGGCTCACAGGTCCCGCCGCCTACCCACACCACTGAGAGCCTGGATTAAGTCCGAGTCCAGCGAGGTGCGAGTGGTTAAACCGGGTTCGCAAGCATGGCGACTTAGACGATGGTCTCGGTTTCAATCGTCAAATGATGCACGAAAAAACGCCCACCTGAGTATTATGTATTGGAGACTATCACTGTACAAGATAGCAGCAGATACTCAGCTCGACAATAACAAATGCAAATAAAAACGGAAGACACTGGAAAATAGTGAAAAAAAAAACAAAGCCAGAATTAGTTACACGTTGAATGCATAGAAATGTATACATTAATTTGAAGACGAGCTCTAAACATGTCTACAGACCAAGTAGCACTTAATTAGACTAAATTCCCGCTCTGAGAATGAAAAAGATCGGTTTAGCTGTCATAATTCATCAATTAAATCTTGTCGCGGTGTGGGAAGGTGTGGGAAGGCGTGGGAAGGCGTGGGAATGTGCCACCGCGACTGTGTCAATGATGAAAAGGCCACTTGGAAGGATATTTCGGAAGTTGTGAATAATTATCTTCTCTGTAGCCTTTCGCTCGCACACACAGGTGTGCGCTGCTCGCTGAGACTTCCGTCTGGTTTTATCGTCTGGATTCGCCCACCTCGAGCAGAGAGACCTTCCCTGCTAATCTGTCAAAGAGCTCGGGTTCCCTAGAACCGCCTGACGTTTATCTTGCCGTGAAATTGTAGTTCATTTGAACAAAAAATCTTCTGAAGGCAAACAACAACAACAAACCACAGCGGCGATTAAAATCTTAAAGGGAGATAAAGGCGCGGTCATCACTTGCCCTCTGCAACCAAATACCACGCGTCAACACCGAAATTACTGCTCCGCTGGGGCGGGAGTGTTGTGCTGTCCGGTGGGAGTGTTGCGCTGTCCGGTGGGAGTGTTGCGCTGTCCGGTGGGAGTGTTGTGCTGTCTGGTGGGAGTGTTGTGTTGTCCGGTGGGAGTGTTGTGCTGTCCGGTGGGAGTGTTGTGCTGTCCGGTGGGAGTGTTGTGCTGTCCGGTGGGAGTGTTGCGCTGTCCGGTGGGAGTGTTGTGCTGTCCGGTGGGAGTGTTGTGTTGTCCGGTGGGAGTGTTGTGCTGTCCGGTGGGAGTGTTGTGCTGTCCGGTGGGAGTGTTGCGCTGTCCGGTGGGAGTGTTGTGCTCTCCGGTGGGAGTGTTGTGTTGTCCGGTGGGAGTGTTGTGCTGTCCGGTGGGAGTGTTGTGCTGTCCGGTGGGAGTGTTGTGCTGTCCGGTGGGAGTGTTGCGCTGTCTGCTGGGAGTGTTGTGCTGTCCGGTGGGAGTGCTGTGCTGTCTGCTGGGAGTGTTGTGCTGTCCGGTGGGAGTGTTGTTCTGTCTGCTGGGAGTGTTGTGCTGTCCGGTGGGAGTGTTGTGCTGTCTGCTGGGAGTGTTGTGCTGTCCGGTGGGAGTGTTGTGCTGTCCGGTGGGAGTGTTGTGCTGTCCGGTGGGAGTGTTGTGCTCTCCGGTGGGAGTGTTGTGCTGTCCGGTGGGAGTGTTGTGCTGTGCGGTGGGAGTGTTGTGCTGTCCGGTGGGAGTGTTGTGCTGTCCGGTGGGAGTGTTGTGCTGTCCGGTGGCAGTGTTGTGCTGTCTGCTGGGAGTGTTGTGCTGTCCGGTGGGAGTGTTGTGCTGTCCGGTGGGAGTGTTGTGCTGTCCGGTGGGAGTGTTGTGCTGTCTGCTGGGAGTGTTGTGCTGTCTGCTGGAAGTGTTGTGCTGTCCGGTGGGAGTGTTGCGCTGTCTGCTGGGAGTGTTGTGCTGTCCGGTGGGAGTGTTGCGCTGTCCGGTGGGAGTGTTGCGCTGTCCGGTGGGAGTGTTGTGCTGTCTGCTGGGAGTGTTGTGCTGTCCGGTGGGAGTGTTGTGCTGTCCGGTGGGAGTGTTGTGCTGTCCGGTGGGAGTGTTGTGCTGTCCGGTGGGAGTGTTGTGCTGTCCGGTGGGAGTGTTGTGCTGTCCGGTGGGAGTGTTGTGCTGTCCGGTGGGAGTGTTGTGCTGTCTGCTGGGAGTGTTGTGTTGTCCGGTGGGAGTGTTGTGTTGTCTGCTGGGAGTGTTGTGCTGTCCGGTGGGAGTGTTGTGCTGTCCGGTGGGAGTGTTGTGTTGTCTGCTGGGAGTGTTGTGCTGTCCGGTGGGAGTGTTGTGCTGTCTGCTGGGAGTGTTGTGTTGTCCGGTGGGAGTGTTGTGCTGTCTGCTGGGAGTGTTGCGCTGTCCGGTGGGAGTGTTGTGCTGTCTGCTGGGAGTGTTGTGCTGTCTGCTGGGAGTGTTGTGCTGTCTGCTGGGAGTGTTGCGCTGTCCGGTGGGAATGTTGTGCTGTCCGGTGGGAGTGTTGTGCTGTCCGGTGGGAGTGTTGTGCTGTCCGGTGGGAGTGTTGTGTTGTCCGGTGGGAGTGTTGCGCTGTCCGGTGGGAGTGTTGTGCTGTCCGGTGGGAGTGTTGTGCTGTCTGCTGGGAGGGTTGTGCTGTCTGCTGGGAGTGTTGCGCTGTCCGGTGGGAGTGTTGCGCTATCCGGTGGGAGTGTTGTGCTGTCCGGTGTGAGTGTTGTGCTGTCCGGTGGGAGTGTTGTGCTGTCCGGTGGGAGTGTTGTGCTGTCCGGTGGGAGTGTTGTGCTGTCCGGTGGGAGTGTTGTGCTGTCTGCTGGGAGGGTTGCGCTGTCCGGTGGGAGTGTTGCGCTGTCCGGTGGGAGTGTTGCGCTGTCCGGTGGGAGTGTTGTGCTGTCCGGTGGGAGTGTTGTGCTGTCCGGTGGGAGTGTTGTGCTGTCTGCTGGGAGTGTTGTGCTGTCTGCTGCGAGTGTTGTGCTGTTTACTGGGAGTGTTGTGTTGTCCGGTGGGAGTGTTGTGCTGTCTGCTGGGAGTGTTGTGCTGTCTGCTGGGAGTGTTACGCTGTCCGGTGGGAGTGTTGCGCTGTCCGGTGGGAGTGTTGTGCTGTCTGCTGGGAGTGTTGTGCTGTCTGCTGGGAGTGTTGTGTTGTCCGGTGGGAGTGTTGTGTTGTCTGCTGGGAGTGTTGTGCTGTCCGGTGGGAGTGTTGTGCTGTCCGGTGGGAGTGTTGTGTTGTCTGCTGGGAGTGTTGTGCTGTCCGGTGGGAGTGTTGTGCTGTCTGCTGGGAGTGTTGTGTTGTCCGGTGGGAGTGTTGTGCTGTCTGCTGGGAGTGTTGCGCTGTCCGGTGGGAGTGTTGTGCTGTCTGCTGGGAGTGTTGTGCTGTCTGCTGGGAGTGTTGTGCTGTCTGCTGGGAGTGTTGAGCTGTCCGGTGGGAATGTTGTGCTGTCCGGTGGGAGTGTTGTGCTGTCCGGTGGGAGTGTTGTGCTGTCCGGTGGGAGTGTTGTGTTGTCCGGTGGGAGTGTTGCGCTGTCCGGTGGGAGTGTTGTGCTGTCCGGTGGGAGTGTTGTGCTGTCTGCTGGGAGGGTTGTGCTGTCTGCTGGGAGTGTTGCGCTGTCCGGTGGGAGTGTTGCGCTATCCGGTGGGAGTGTTGTGCTGTCCGGTGTGAGTGTTGTGCTGTCCGGTGGGAGTGTTGTGCTGTCCGGTGGGAGTGTTGTGCTGTCCGGTGGGAGTGTTGTGCTGTCCGGTGGGAGTGTTGTGCTGTCTGCTGGGAGGGTTGCGCTGTCCGGTGGGAGTGTTGCGCTGTCCGGTGGGAGTGTTGCGCTGTCCGGTGGGAGTGTTGTGCTGTCCGGTGGGAGTGTTGTGCTGTCCGGTGGGAGTGTTGTGCTGTCTGCTGGGAGTGTTGTGCTGTCTGCTGGGAGTGTTGTGCTGTTTACTGGGAGTGTTGTGCTGTCCGGTGGGAGTGTTGTGCTGTCTGCTGGGAGTGTTGTGCTGTCTGCTGGGAGTGTTACGCTGTCCGGTGGGAGTGTTGCGCTGTCCGGTGGGAGTGTTGTGCTGTCTGCTGGGAGTGTTGTGCTGTCTGCTGGGAGTGTTGCGCTGTCCGGTGGGAGTGTTGTGCTGTCCGGTGGGAGTGTTGTGCTGTCTGCTGGGAGTGTTGCGCTGTCCGGTGGGAGTGTTGTGCTGTCGGGTGGGAGGGTTGTGCTGTTTGCTGGGAGTGTTGTGTTGTCCGGTGGGAGTGTTGTGCTGTCTGCTGGGAGTGTTGTGCTGTCCGGTGGGAGTGTTGTGCTGTCTGCTGGGAGTGTTGTGTTGTCCGGTGGGAGTGTTGTGCTGTCTGCTGGGAGTGTTGTGCTGTCTGCTGGGAGTGTTGCGCTGTCCGGTGGGAGTGTTGTGCTGTCCGGTGAGAGTGTTGTGCTGTCTGCTGGGAGTGTTGCGCTGTCCGGTGGGAGTGTTGTGCTGTCCGGTGGGAGTGTTGTGCTGTCTGCTGGGAGTGTTGTGTTGTCCGGTGGGAGTGTTGTGCTGTCTGCTGGGAGTGTTGTGCTGTCCGGTGGGAGTGTTGTGCTGTCCGGTGGGAGTGTTGTGCTGTCCGGTGGGAGTGTTGTGTTGTCCGGTGGGAGTGTTGTGCTGTCCGGTGGGAGTGTTGTGCTGTCCGGTGGGAGTGTTGCGCTGTCCGGTGGGAGTGTTGTGCTCTCCGGTGGGAGTGTTGTGCTGTCCGGTGGGAGTGTTGTGCTGTCTGCTGGGAGGGTTGTGCTGTCTGCTGGGAGTGTTGCGCTGTCCGGTGGGAGTGTTGCGCTATCCGGTGGGAGTGTTGTGCTGTCCGGTGTGAGTGTTGTGCTGTCCGGTGGGAGTGTTGTGCTGTCCGGTGGGAGTGTTGTGCTGTCCGGTGGGAGTGTTGTGCTGTCCGGTGGGAGTGTTGTGCTGTCTGCTGGGAGGGTTGCGCTGTCCGGTGGGAGTGTTGCGCTGTCCGGTGGGAGTGTTGCGCTGTCCGGTGGGAGTGTTGTGCTGTCCGGTGGGAGTGTTGTGCTGTCCGGTGGGAGTGTTGTGCTGTCTGCTGGGAGTGTTGTGCTGTCTGCTGGGAGTGTTGTGCTGTTTACTGGGAGTGTTGTGTTGTCCGGTGGGAGTGTTGTGCTGTCTGCTGGGAGTGTTGTGCT